AGGCAGGGCTCCTGTTGTCTTTGGGCTAGGGTTAGGGTTAGGGTTAGTTAGTATAGTGGAGGCAGGGCTCCTGTTGTCTTTGGGTTAGGGTTAGGGCTAGGGTTAGTTAGTATAGTGGAGGCAGGGCTCCTGTTGTCTTTGGGTTAGGGTTAGGGTTAGGGTTAGTTAGTATAGTGGAGGCAGGGCTCCTGTTGTCTTTGGGTTAGGGCTAGGGTTAGGGTTAGGGTTAGTTAGTATAGTGGAGGCAGGGCTCCTGTTGTCTTTGGGTTAGGGTTAGGGTTAGGGTTAGGGTTAAAACATGAACTTGTTTGACCTTGCTGCAGGTCATGGAACTGTTTGTTACATGCAATTTGCTTTGTGGACTTCACCGGACAGATGTTGCTTTCCGGTTTTGTGATGAAATGTGTATGTCTAGTTGAATTTATTCCGCTGCTGTGTGACTGTTGTCTTTTTGTTGTCAAGGCCTTATTGTATATCATGGTGGCGTATGAACTAATGGGTTATAGAGCAAACAACGCAATTATCAGAACACAGGTTGTCATATGGATGTTTTACTGGCTTGGATTCTTCATTGATTTTACCCACACACTGCTACTGCATGTAAAGTCTTGGTCCCATGTTTCATGAACTGAAATAAAAGATCCCAGAAATGTTCCATACACACAAAAAGCTTATTTCTCTCATTGTGTGCACACATTTGTTTACATCCCTGTTAGTGAGCATTTCCTCCTTTGCCAAGATAATCCATCCACCTGACAGGTGTGGCATATCAAGAAGCTGATTAAACAGCATGATCATTACACAGGCGCACCTTGTGCTGGGGGACAATAAAAGGCCACTCTAAAATATGCACAGATGTCTCAAATTTTGAGGGAGCGTGCAATTGGCATGCTGACTGCAGGAATGTCCAAAAGAGTTGTTGCCAGAGAACTGAATGTTCATTTCTCTACCATAAGCCACGTCCTACGTCGTTTTAGATTATTTGGCAGTACATCCAAATGGCCACACAACCTCAGACCACGTGTAACCACGCCAGTCCAGGTCCTCCACATACGGCTTCTTCACCTGCAGGATCGTCTGAGACCAGCCACCCGGACAGCTGATGAAACTGTGGGTTTGCACAACCGAAGAATTTCTGCGCAAATGGTCAGAAACCGTCTCAGGGAAGTTAATCTGCGTGCTCGTCGTCCACACCAGGGTCAGTGGACAAATGTGTTTTTTTTAAGGTATCTATGACCAACATATGCATATCTGTAATCCCAATCATGTGAAATCCATAGATTAGTGCCTAAAGAATGCATTTCAATTCACTGATTGCATTATATGAACTGTAATTTAATAAAATCTTTGAAATTGTTGCATGTTGCGTTTCATATTTTTGTTCAGTGTAGTTTATGGTCTAGATTCCAATGTTGGCTAGCTAGCTGATGGCTGCTCTAATATTTCTATTTTGTAGAAAGCCCTTGATACTAGCCAGATGGCCAGAGCTAGATAACTAACTAGCAAAATTACGAAGAAACAGTTTACTTCACTCGCCATAATCCCATACTGTCAGTGCCAGCCCATAGCTAAATGTTTAGCTAGCTAGCTAACGACACTGCACTAACTCGGCAGCTAACACAGGCAGTTGTGTCATGGAAACTAATCCATTGTGATTTAATTATAATGGCAATACTAGCTACAGTGGTTATCTAGCTTGTAGGAAGGTTTTAGTGTTGTGTGCACTTAGCTAGGTCCCATCCCATAGCCTACCTACATTGCATATGAAGTGTGACTGTCTCGTGTCATTTAACCGTGGCTCTACGGAGACAACGCCCTCTTTTTTCCTTTGTGTCGTCACCCCTGTCAGCTCCCCCACGTGGGGGTTCATGCTCTCTGATTGGCTCAAAGTCAAGTTGTTGGCCACTGACGAGCATTGCGATTGGACAAGTAGAAATGACAGGTTCGTCGCAGGATAAGGAACGGTCTCCCACTGTGTTAAGTCTATAGGCAGTCAAATTCTCGATGTGTTTCATGCTTTAACTCCAACCAAAAAAACAGATTTTCACCAAGTCCATTTTTTTTTGTTAGAGGTTTTATGATGCTTGTACCTAAACCAAATTAGATAATTTAAAGATAGTTCTATATATCAGTTAGGGTCTCTATACGCTTCAATATGAGGTCCTAAACCTAGCATGAAAGTGCATCCTTGTAGCTGTGTGGGCTAATATAGTCTAAATGTTTGCCTTGGGGTAAATTGAGCCAATAGCAAGTTCAGCAAATGTAAGCGTTTTATTCCCAGGCGTAATGCAAAGCATTATCTCTGAGATATGAGGTAACAGGGCCTGGCCTATGTTAAAATTGTTTTTTTACAACGGGTTTGTTGGGTGTCAAGCCTGTGTTAAAAGATACTTACAATTATTAGAAGACAAAAAGCGATTGTGACTGTGTTGAATTGTGTTTGGGAAATAATGATAGACATGGTTTTAAAAAGGTTGTAGTAATATTTCATTTACAGACATTTGTAGGCGGTTTAACTTACCCTGTCCTGGCTCAACTTACCCCATACCCGAGTTGTGCCAAGAGACCACTTTGTGGACAAGCTATGTTTTAAAACTGTAATGTTTACATTATTTCTGATTTATTTCTAGGGATACACAACATCCTGAAATATATGTAGATATCTGTCACGATGTCCACCGAGGCTGCCCCCCCTCCTGGTTCGGGCAGGCTTCGGCGTTCGTCGTCACCGGAGTACTAGCTACTGCCGATCCCATTCTCATCACTCCACTTGTCATGTCTTGTCAATCACACACACCTGGTGCTCAGTCCCCTAATGAGTATGTGTATAAGTGTTCTCTCTGTTCCCCTTGTCTTTGTGAGTGATTGTTTATTGTGAGAGCATGTTAGCTCGGTTGAGCTACTCAACATTGTATTTTTTTTTTACCAAGGTGGATGTTTTCCCTTGAGCTTGTTCCTTTTGACGCTTGGGGCGTTTGATTTATGTGAACACATTAAACTCTAGACTTCAGTATTTTACCTCCTGTGCCTGACTCCTTCATTTCACCTCGTCACAGAATCACTCACCCGATATGGAGCCAGCAGGAGAAGACCGAAGGCCTGCATGCATGCTATGTTTTCAAAACTGTAGTGTTTACATTAATTCTGATTTTATTTCCAGGGATACACAACATCCTGAAATATACGTAGATATCTTTGTTGATAAGAATAGTACAGTATATTTCCCTTGACAGAGTGGTGCTTAATGTTTAAAACAATTGCTAAATTTACCCCACTCCCCCTACAGTAACTTTTAAAAGATCTCGCAAATTCTAAAGGCATTGTTATATTTTATATAATTACAGAAAGATACAGTAAGAACACACAACACTAAACATGTGTTAAGGGTTAAAAAAAAAGTTTTTATAAATGACAAATATATTGATGATTTTACAATTGCAATACTGAAATCATCATGCAGTAAATGATAATCGAACAGTTTTATGTTTATATTAATTTAAGCACCTCCTTTATCATTATTTTAACTGTAAAACATATTCAGATCTAAATAGCTTTATCCCGTCCCAAAAGGTCATGCAGAACAAAACAAAATGGCTTAGAAATGCAGTGATTATGTTATCACAGTAAAACCAATTGCACAACAGAACAAATTGAAGGTAAGGTGCTCATTTCAATCCAAAAGTATTAAAAAGATGACAGAATTATTTCAACAAAAAAGCGAAGTTGTTCAATACAAAATATAGTTTGTAAGTGAAAGTATAGCGCCAATAGCAGTCCGTGTTAGTATAGCTATCAGATGCTAAAGTTCCTGTTATTTGGTCAGTTTTCTTATTTCCTCTCCAGTCTGCGTGTTCCTCTGAGGAGGAGAGACATTATTAACTCCTCAGTTTCTATCAGTCTGTAGAGTAAACACTTCCAGAATATAGTTTGTTTTACATTGAAATAATTAATAGATATTGAATTGGGTCATCAGTGCCCTTTCAAAATGAACACGGTTGATTCCTCTGCTACACCCTCTAGTTGTTCTTCCCCCAGCTAGGGGGTGCTGTTTCCTGGGGGACACCTCTGTATCACCTCTTCTACCTCCACCACCTCCACCACCAAGTCACGGATGGACTTCACACTATCCAGAGGAACCGCTTCCTCCTCTTCCTCCTCTCCCTCCATCCCCCCTGTGATAGACTGCAGCCCCAGAGCCTCTCCTCCACTGTCCCCTGCCTCCACTACACCCTCCCCAAGCCCAGTGTGTGGAGTAGTAGCACCCTCTGGTGATGGGACCAGGGTATTGCATGCAAGCAGGGCACCCTGGCTCTCAGTGACAGTAACTCCAGTGAATGAGGTAACTGTCGCTCTGTCCTCACCGCCTCCAGGCTGTGTCTCTGATCCCTTGGGGTTAAGGTTAGGGTCAACCTGAGTCTGGGAGGCTGGTTCAGTGTCTCTGGCTTGGGTAGATGAGCTAGTTTGGACTTTACCACTAGCTTTCATTTCTGGAGGGGTGTCAGAGTGGACCGAACCACTGTCTACAGTTTCTACATGGGCGTTGGATGGGGCTGTAACTATGCGATGTGCCTCTGTGTCCTCTGCCTCTTTAAAAAGATGTTCTTCCTCCTCTTCTTTCTCGTCCACGGCGAGAGGTACAGATGCCCCCTCCTTCACCCCTACAGGAGTTTTCAGGTAGACTGCTCTGTCCGTGGCTTTTCTCTGACCAGTGGAGGGCACTGTGGCCTCAAGAAGAATCATACTCATTGCTGCTAGAGCCTCGACACACACTGACACACGGTCACTCACTGGGCTTTCTCTGGCTGCGGCTGGTTTGTCTTCAGTTCCTGGTGGTTGGGATGCTTTGGCTGTGTCTGTAACTTCAGGTGTCTGGGGAGCTGGTTCGGCCACAGGAAGAGGAGGCTGGGGGGAGACGGGTTCAGATCCGGGTGCGGCCTGCATCTCTGGTGCAGCTAAGGGTGCATAAGGTGTAGTTGTGGCCAAAGGGGCGTCAGGATTGGCTAAGGAAGCATCAGGTTTGGTTGAGGCAGCACCAGAGGGGGAATCACTTTCAGCAGAGGACATTTCAGGTAGAGGTGAAGGGGTATCAGGTAGAAGTGAAGGGGTATCAGGTAGAGGTGAAGGGGTATCAGGTAGAGGTGAAGGGGTATCAGGTAGAGGTGAAGGGGTATCAGGTAGAGGTGAAGGGGTATCAGGTAGAGGTGAAGGGGTATCAGGTAGAGATGAAGGGGTATCAGGTAGAGGTGAAGGGGTATCAGGTAGAGGTGAAGGGGTATCGGCAGTATAGGTAAGTATATGGGCTGGGGCTGGGAGTGGGACTGGGGCTGGGGCTGGGGCTGGGGCTGGGGTTGGGGCTGAGACTGAGACTGGGGCTGGGAGTGGGACTGGGACTGGGGCTGGGGCTGGGGCTGGGGCTGGGGTTGGGGCTGAGACTGAGACTGGGGCTGGGAGTGGGACTGGGACTGGGGCTGGGGTTGGGGCTGAGTCTGGGGCTGGGAGTGGGACTGAGGCTGGGAGTGGGACTGAGGCTGAGCCTGGGGCTGAGGCTGGGAGTGGGGCTGAGACTGGGGCTGGGGCTGAGGCTGGGGTTGGGGCTGAGACTGGGGCTGGGGCTGAGGCTGGGGCTGGGGTTGGGGCTGGGGCTGGGGCTGAGGCTGGGGCTGAGGCTGGGGCTGGGAGTGGGACTGAGGCTGGGAGTGGGACTGAGGCTGAGCCTGGGGCTGAGGCTGGGAGTGGGGCTGAGACTGGGGCTGGGGCTGAGGCTGGGGTTGGGGCTGAGACTGGGGCTGGGGCTGAGGCTGGGGCTGGGGTTGGGGCTGGGGCTGGGGCTGAGGCTGGGGCTGAGGCTGGGGCTGGGGCTGGGACTGAGGCTGGGGCTGGAGCCTCACTTTGTGGAGTTATGATAATGACAGTAGGAGTGAGGGCAGCCATATCCACCTCCAGCCTCCCAGCGCTAGAAGGAGAGTTCCCCACCAGGGGAGAAGGTGCCCGCTCGGCCTGTCTGCTCAACCCAGAGACAGCCATCTTGGCAGGGCTGGCGGGGGCGGAGAGGGGAGGGGTGTGACCGTCTGTCAGGCTGCTTTGACTGGCACTCTGCATGTCAGTACTGTCCACCATGGCACTCTGCATGTCAGTACTGTCCACCATGGCACTCTGCATGTCAGTACTGTCCACCATGGCACTCTGCATGTCAGTACTGTCCACCATGGCACTCTGCATGTCAGTACTGTCCACCATCAGGTTGTTCTTCCTCAGACTGGCGGCTTCTTTCAGCACTGGAGAACATGAGAGACCGAAAGGGAGAAGAATGAATTGATAAAGTCCATACAGGAGAAGCATACAGTACATACAATCAATTCTTTATACAGGGTATACAAGAGGATAATGGTGTTATACAGGGTATACAAGAGGATAATGGAGTTATACAGGGTATACAAGAGGATAATGGTGTTATACGGGGTATACAAGAGGGTAATGGTGTTATACAGGGTATAGAAGAGGATAATGGTGTTATACAGGGTATACAAGGGGGTAATGGTGTTATATTGGGTATACAAGAGGATAATGGTGTTATACAGGGTATACAAGGGGGTAATGGTGTTATATAGGGTATACAAGAGGATAATGGTGTTATACAGGGTATACAAGAGGGTAATGGTGTTATACAGGGTATACAAGAGGGTAATGGTGTTATACAGGGTATACAAGAGGATAATGGTGTTATACAGGGTATACAAGAGGATAATGGTGTTATACGGGGTATACAAGAGGGTAATGGTGTTATACGGGGTATACAAGAGGATAATGGTGTTATACAGGGTATACAAGAGGATAATGGTGTTATACAGGGTATACAAGAGGATAATGGTGTTATATAGGGTATACAAGAGGATAATGGTGTTATACAGGGTATACAAGAGGGTAATGGTGTTATACAAGGTATACAAGAGGATAATGGTGTTATATAGGGTATACAAGAGGATAATGGTGTTATACAGGGTATACAAGAGGGTAATGGTGTTATACAGGGTATACAAGAGGGTAATGGTGTTATACAGGGTATACAATGGGGTAATGGTGTTATACAGGGTATACAAGAGGATAATGGTGTTATACAGGGTATACAAGAGGATAATGGTGTTATACACTTCTATTACTGCCAGTAGAAAAGACAAGGGATGGGTTACAGGGTTTTAGAACATGGGAGACCAAAAGGGAACACAGTGAAATGTAAAAGGCCTTTTTATATGCAATGGGTTAATAAGCTGTTGTCTCCTATACATTAGTAGAATGGAGGGGTTGATAAGCAGTTGTCTCCTATACATTAGTAGAATGGAGGGGTTGATAAGCAGTTGTCTCCTATACATTAGTAGAATGGAGGGGTTGATAAGCAGTTGTCTCCTATACATTAGTAGAATGGAGGGGTTGATAAGCAGTTGTCTCCTATACATTAGTAGAATGGAGGGGTTGATAAGCAGTTGTCTCCTATACTTTAGTAGGATGGAGGGGTTAATAAGCTGTTGTCTCCTATACATTAGTAGAATGGAGGGGTTGATAAGCAGTTGTCTCCTATACATTAGTAGAATGGAGGGGTTGATAAGCAGTTGTCTCCTATACATTAGTAGAATGGAGGGGTTGATAAGCAGTTGTCTCCTATACTTTAGTAGGATGGAGGGGTTGATAAGCAGTTGTCTCCTATACATTAGTAGAATGGAGGGGTTAATAAGCTGTTGTCTCCTATACTTTAGTAGGATGGAGGGGTTGATAAGCAGTTGTCTCCTATACATTAGTAGAATGGAGGGGTTGATAAGCAGTTGTCTCCTATACATTAGTAGCATGGAGGGGTTAATAAGCTGTTGTCTCCTATACATTAGTAGGATGGAGGGGTTGATAAGCTGTTGTCTCCTATACATTAGTAGCATGGAGGGGTTAATAAGCAGTTGTCTCCTATACATTAGTAGAATGGGGGGGTTGATAAGCAGTTGTCTCCTATACATTAGTAGAATGGAGGGGTTGATAAGCAGTTGTCTCCTATACATTAGTAGAATGGATGTAAATGTCAGGAGAATCTGGGACCCTGAATAACAGACACAAGCAGTTAACGCACCTTTGTTGACCTCACTGGTCAGAATGTTCAGTAGAATATCTTCATAAACGTTTTTCACTTGGATGAAGTTGGTGTAATCAGCAAAGATGTACTGGTCCAACTTCAGCAGGTCCTGTAAAGTGCAGAAACATGGGTTTTATTATGATTAACTACAGTACCTGCTCCAAAAATGCTTCTTGAATTTGATAGGGTGAGCTGTGGATGGACTGAGACCATTTGATAGGGTGAGCTGTGGATGGACTGAGACCCTCAGCCTGCTCTAGGATATATCTAGATGTAATGACTGACAGAACGAGACCAGTGCACATACCGGTTTGTATGACGGAGCCAGGTTCCTCCTGATAGCAGGTAGCGTGATGTCAACCAGAGCCTCCTGAAAGATCCTCTTCCTCACCGTGCTACTGTCGTGGTCGTATTGCTGCCGGGAACAACCACACAACAACAATGTTACTGTTAGCCTCTACACCCTGTAGTGGTCATATTGCTGCCGGGAACAACCACACAACAACAATGTTACTGTTAGCCTCTACACCCTGTCGTGGTCATATTGCTGCCGGGAACAACCACACAACAACAATGTTACTGTTAGCCTCTACACCCTGTCATGGTTATATTGCTACAGGAAACATGCATCAATCAATTAATCCATCAACTAATCAATAAACCAATCAACCCATCAACTAACCAATCAACCAGTCAACCAATTAATCGCAACAAGACAACCACACAACAAGTGTTAGACAGAATAACCCTAGCTGAGTTTCCCCTAGCCAACTATGAATTCACTGATGGTAAGCTACAGTAGGTAGGGCAGTGTTGCATCGTGAAGCTACAGTCAGAAGACAGGAGGTACGAAGCTACAGTCAGAAGACAGGAGGTACGAAGCTACAGTCAGAAGACAGGAGGTACGAAGCTACAGTCAGAAGACAGGAGGTATGAAAATACAGTCAGAAGACAGGAGGTACGAAGCTACAGTCAGAAGACAGGAGGTACGAAGCTACAGTCAGAAGACAGGAGGTACGAAGCTACAGTCAGAAGACAGGAGGTACGAAGCTACAGTCAGAAGACAGGAGGTACGAAGCTACAGTCAGAAGACAGAAGGTACGAAGCTACAGTCAGTAGACAGGAGGTACGAAGCTACAGTCAGAAGACAGGAGGTACGAAGCTACAGTCAGAAGACAGGAGGTACGAAGCTACAGTCAGAAGACAGGAGGTACGGCAGTAGGTAAAACCTCTGTCTGTTTATCTCACCTTGAGGACTCTGAGCTTGGCTTTCTCCATGGCTGAGGTGAGTATGGTAGGGTTGTCTTTCAGTGAGGTCTGGAGGAGCATCTCAAAGGTGTACACAGCATTCTCCATCAGCTACAACAAGACAGAAACACACAGGAAAACATTTCAACTAAAAAAAACTGAGATGTGAGGAAATAGTGCGGTGTAGAATATACAGAAAATAGATTAACAGCAGAGTTCGTTTTTTCTAGAGTCTAGGTCTACTTCAGACCTAACCTGTCTACAGTCTAACATGTTTCATGTCTATCTGTGAGCTGTGGATCAGACCTAACCTGTATACAGTCTAACATGTTTCATGTCTAGCTCAGCTGTAGCTCCTCTGTAGCTCAGCTGGTAGAGCACGGCGCTTGTAACGCCAAGGTAGTGGGTTCGATCCCCGGGACCACCCATACACAAAAATGTATGCACGCATGACTGTAAGTCGCTTTGGATAAAAGCGTCTGCTAAATGGCATATTATTATTATTATTATTATCTGTGAGCTGTGGATCAGACCTAACCTGTATACAGTCTAACATGTTGCCTGTCTATCTGTGAGCTGTGGATCAGACCTAACCTGTATACAGTCTAACCTGTTGCATGTCTATCTGTGAGCTGTGGATCAGACCTAACCTGTTGCATGTCTATCTGTGAGCTGTGGATCAGACCTAACCTGTTGCATGTCTATCTGTGTGTTGTGGATCAGGCGAACTGAGTTGGAGAACTTGAAGCGATGCCGGAGTTCCTGAAGCTGTTCTGTCAGGACCTCCACTCTGCTGTAACACTCCTCCAGACTGGCCTGACACATCTGACCCAGAGCCTGGTTAGAGAGAGAGGGAGAGAGGGGCAAGCCTGGTTAGAGAGAGAGGGAGAGAGGGAGAGAGGCAAGCCTGGGTAGAGAGAGAGAGGGAGAGAGGGGCAAGCCTGGTTAGAGAGAGAGGGGGAGAGAGGCAAGCCTGGGTAGAGAGAGAGAGAGGGAGAGGGAGAGAGGCAAGCCTGGTTAGAGAGAGGGGGAGAGGGGCAAGCCTGGTTAGAGAGAGAGAGAGGGAGAGGGGCAAGCCTGGTTAGAGAGAGAGAGGGAGAGGGAGAGGGGCAAGCCTGGTTAGAGAGAGAGAGGGAGAGAGGGCAAGCCTGGGTAGAGAGAGAGAGGGAGAGAGGGGCAAGCCTGGGTAGAGAGAGAGGGACGGAGAGGGAGAGGGGCAAGCCTGGTTAGAGAGAGAGAGAGGGAGAGGGAGAGGGGCAAGCCTGGTTAGAGAGAGAGAGGGAGAGAGGGGCAAGCCTGGGTAGAGAGAGAGAGGGAAGAGGGGCAAGCCTGGGTAGAGAGAGAGGGGACGGAGAGGGAGAGGGGCAAGCCTGGTTAGAGAGAGAGAGAGGGAGAGGGAGAGGGGCAAGCCTGGTTAGAGAGAGAGAGAGAGGGAGAGAGGCAAGCCTGGTTAGAGAGAGAGGGGGAGAGGGGCAAGCCTGGTTAGAGAGGGAGAGAGGGGCAAGCCTGGTTAGAGAGAGAGGGAGAGGGGCAAGCCTGGTTAGAGAGAGAGGGGAGAGAGGGGCAAGCCTGGTTAGAGAGAGAGGGAGAGAGGGAGAGAGGCAAGCCTGGTTAGAGAGAGAGAGGGAGAGGGGCAAGCCTGGTTAGAGAGAGGGGGAGAGGGGCAAGCCTGGTTAGAGAGAGGGAGAGGGAGAGGGGCAAGCCTGGTTAGAGAGAGAGAGGGAGAGGGGCAAGCCTGGTTAAAGAGAGACAGGGAGAGGGGCAAGCCTGGTTAGAGAGAGAGGGGGAGAGAGGCAAGCCTGGTAGAGAGAGAGGGAGAGAGGCAAGCCTGGGTAGAGAGAGAGAGGGGAGAGGGGCAAGCCTGGTGAGAGAGAGGAGAGGGAGAGAGGGCAAGCCTGGTTAGAGAGAGAGAGGGAGAGGGGCAAGCCTGGTTTGAGAGAGAGAGGGAGAGAGGCAAGCCTGGTTAGAGAGAGAGAGGGAGAGGGGCAAGCCTGGGTAGAGAGAGAGAGGAGAGAGAGGGAGAGAGGCAAGACTGGTTAGAGAAGGAGGGAGAAAGAGGTCAGCATGGTTAGAGATAATAGGGGGATAGGGGCAAAGCCTGGATTTAGAGAGAGAGAGGAGAGAGGCAAAGCCTGGTTAGAGAGGAGAGAGGGAGAGAGGAGAGAGCAAGCCTGGTTAGAGAGAGAGAGGGAGAGAGGCAAGCCTGGTTAGAGAGAGAGAGGGAGAGGGGCAAGCCTGGGTAGAGAGAGAGGGAGAGGGGCAAGCCTGGTTAGAGAGAGAGAGGGAGAGAGGCAAGCCTGGTTAGAGAGAAGAGAGGGAGAGAGGCAAGCCTGGTTAGAGAAGAGAGAGGGAGAGAGGCAAGCCTGGTTAGAGAGAGAGAGAGGGAGAGAGGCAAGCCTGGTTAGAGAGAGAGAGGGAGAGAGGCAAGCCTGGTTAGAGAGAGAGAGGGAGAGAGGCAAGCCTGGGTAGGGAGAGAGGCAAGCCTGGGTAGAGAGAGAGAGGGAGAGGGGCAAGCCTGGTTAGAGAGAGAGAGTGAGAGAGGCAAGCCTTGGTAGAGAGGAGGGAGAGGCAAGCCGGTTAGAGGAGAGAGGGGAGAGGCAAGCCTGGTAGAGGGAGAGAGGCAGCCTGGTAGAGAGAGAGGGAGAGAGCAAGCCTGGGTAGAGAGAGGGGAGAGAGGCAGCCTGGTTAGAGAGAGAGAGAGGGAGAGGGGCAAGCCTGGTTAGAGGAGAGGGGAGAGAGGCAAGCCTGGTTAGAGAGAGAGAGAGGGAGAGAGCAAGCCTGGTTAGAGAGAGAGAGAGGGAAGAGGAAAGCCTGGTTAGAGAGAGAGAGGAGAGAGGAAAGCCTGGTTAGAGAGAAGAGGGGAGAGGCAAGCCTGGGTAGGAGAGAGGCAAGCCTGGGTAGAGAGAGAGAGGGAGAGGGGCAAGCCTGGTTAGAGAGAGAGAGAGAGAGAGGCAAGCCTTGTAGAAGAGGGAGAGAGGCAAGCCTGGTTAGAGAGAGAGAGGGAGAGAGGCAGCCTGGTAGAGGAGAGGGCAAGCCTGGTAGGAGAGAGGGAGAGTGGGCAAGCCTGGTTAGAGAGAGAGGGAGAGAGGCAAGCCTGGTTAGAGAGAGAGAGGGAGGAGGCAGCCTTAGAGAGAGAGAGGGGAGGAGGGAGGGGGAGAGAGGGGAGGGAGGAGA